GTTACGGAAGACCTCACCTATTCAGCCAGGCCAACAATTGCCCCTAATGCCCCCTCTTTCAGAGACATAGACAGGTATGGGGCATTGCAGGCTAACAAAGAAGCCAAATGACCCCCATTCCAAATGGTGGACCCGTTAGTCTGTTTCTATTTGCATGTTTTTTAAACCAAAACCAGGCTTTGTTGGGCTGCTGGATAAAACCTGGAACTTAACGCTATTTCTGACATTTTGAAGTGAAAAAGCTTCCTGGATGGAAAGAGAAAAGTCTTCAAAGTTGCAAACAAAATCCAGTGGATTGTTTTTTAATTTTTTTGCGATGACTCTGACCTGGATGACTGAGCATCTTCAGCAGCATCTAGCTGATCATCTTTGCAGATGTTGATGGGACTCACCTGGTGATGTTTAATTTGCTAGAACCCAGCAGTTCTCTTTGGTTGTTCCCTTGAACTCCAGCGTGGTCTTTACAGTAGGTGGGTTTAGCTCAGCAGGTTCGGACCATCAGTGGACCTGCCTGCCTGCTTGGAGAACTGACTGTGGGACCAGCTGCAGGCTTTAGTAGTTCCCCAGCTGAGTCCGTTCAGGGGCAGAGTTAGCAGATTCTCCCCTTAAATTTTAACACTCCCGGGTCCGGTCCGGTCCATTCTGGTCCGGTCCGGTCCGCTCCAGTCCAGTCTGGTCCAGTCAGGACCAGACTGGACCAGACTGAACCGGACCAGATTGGACCCTTTCAAAACAATACGGTCTCCTTCCTGAATGAAGAGCTCTATCTCCAGCTTTGTGTTGAAGGCTTCCTCTTCTTCAGTCAGTGACATCCAACATTTCACAGAGGGCTGTTGTCAGGGCAACCAGCTGTGGTGCATTCACTGGATTCTTAGTTTCTATTGGGCCATCTTTAAGACAGCTGGTTCTGGTCAGCAGAATCTCTGCTGTGAATGAATTCTGTAGCATTAACAGAACCGACCTGGAGGAACCTCAGCGTGTGACATGGAGGGCATCCCTGCTGTGTTTTATTACAGCGGGTAGCGCTCAGCCTCTCTTTAACTTTAACTGCTCTCTTTGATCAGCCTCTTCAGGAGAAACCTTTTTAGAGTTTTGGACTCAGACCTGATTTCTGTGTCGTTTTCTGAAGTCGGCCGGCATCTTGGTGGACCAGGAGCGCGCCGTCGTCAGCTCTCTGCAGTACTTTAAAGCTCTAGTAGACAGACTGGGACTGGACAGACCTGGAGGAGAAAAACTAGTCTTGGACCAGTCCATGGTGGGAGGTCTGTTGGGTGGAGCTTCCAATAGGATCCTGGAGGCAGTCCAGACTCTGGTCCAGCTGGAGCCTCAGCTGTTAAACAGGCAGGTTCCCCTTAATGCTCCTCGATCAGCCAATCAGAAAGCATCTCCATGTCCTCATCCTGTCCCTCCACCTGCAGTAAGACTGTCTCCGCCTGTCTCACTCGTCTCTACCGCTCTGTGGCTGGGCTGATCCGCTGGGCTGATCAGAGGATGCTGCGGGGCGTCTCCCAGGACAACCAGGAGTCTTCAGAGAGCGTTACCACGGTGATCAGGGGCATCCTGAACAGTGCCAAGGTAAGGGCTGTCCTCAGGTTCCCTTTGAGGGACAGATGTCTTATCCGACTGTAGTGGTGTTAAGGAATGTCCCAATCAGAAGTTGATACCGATATTGACCCCAGATTAGCCAGAAAACTTATTTTATTGGCCGGCATCTAAAATCTCTGATATTATGGTGCGGATGGAGCGAGTTCTTTCTGGAATTTCTTAGTTTCTGATCTTTTTAACCTTTGTTTCATGTAGTAATGAAAATATTTGAGTAAGTTAGTTTTTTTTACAGCATAATATCGGATCGGTACCATAACTCTGTTCCTCAGGAACTGGGACGACTGGTGGCAGAGAGACGAGAAGGTTCCGTCCCCTTGTCTCCAGTCCAACCACAGTCAGGAGGATTCAGTGAGAAGGAGACATCAGAGGGAACATCTGCCAGCAGAGGACCTTCGGGGGACCAGGGGACGAAGACTGAGACAAAAAGGGAGGAGCCTCCGATCTCAGCCCCACCCAAACCCCCGATGCCCCTACAAGACCCCCCACCTGAAAACACCCCTACCCAGGGACAGACCTTCAGGTTAGTCCACCTCCCT